CTCCAGTCCCTTAATTGTCTTCGTTGCTCTTCTCTGCACTCTTTCCATTTTTTTGACCCCCTCTGCGCATGCACAGAAGGCTTTGTGCATGCGCAGAGGGTCCAAAATTGTATGTGATGAGCGCGCGAGCGAGCGGAGCGCACGCTTCCGAACCGGCAGGGAAGGTAAGTAGATTTCACCCCTGCTATATAGGTATGTCAAAGAAAAAGAAGATTCGGAATATTTTTATAATGTGGGATCTATGCTACAAATGGCTAGCTTGACAGATACAGAGGTTAGAGGAGTGGATTAATGTGAAATATGGACTACACGAGAAAGAAAAACCGATGAGTAAATATTTTGATGGTTGTATATTGATACCATGATGGAAGAACGTATACTTTTCAGTACCAATTGGTATTATCCAGGGGTGAAATCCAGCAGGTTCTGGAGAACCGGTAGCAGAAATTTTGAGCAGTTCGGAGAACCGGCAAATACCACCTCTGGCTGGCCCCAGAGTGGGGTGGGAATGGGGATTTTGCAGTATCCTTCCCCCAGGAGTGGGGTGGGAACGGGGATTTTGCAATATCCTTCCCCCAGGAGTGGGGTGGGAATGGGGATTTTGCAGTATCCTTCCCTCAGGAGTGGGGAGGGAATGGGGATTTTGCAATATCCTTCCCCCAGGAGTGGGGTGGGAATGGGGATTTTGCAGTATCCTTCCCCCAGGAGTGGGGAGGGAATGGGGATTTTGCAATATCCTTCCCCCAGGAGTAGGGTGGGAATGGGGATTTTGCAATATCCTTCCCTCAGGAGTGGGGTGGGAATGGGGATTTTGCAATAGCCTTCCCCCAGGAGTGGGGTGGGAATGGGGATTTTGCAATAGCCTTCCCCCAGGAGTGGGGAGGGAATGGAGATTTTGCAGTATCCTTCCCCTGCCATGCCCACCGAGCCACGCCCACAGAACCGGTAGTAAAAAAAAATTGGATTTCACCACTGGTATTATTGCATGTATGTTTATATGTACATAATTATAAGGACTATGATGAGGTTTATATTTTAATACTTTGGGAAACCTAGGAAAGACACAGTTCCATAGAGACATGGGATTTGTGATCTAAAACGATTAAAAACTATTTACACACGAAGGGAGTCCTGGGAAATGCAGTTCTACCCTCTTCAGGTTTCCTCGTCCGAGCAGCTCCAACTCGGTGGACTTCTACTCCCAGAATTCTCGGTGGCAAACTTGCTGACCGGGGAATTCTGGGAGCGCAAGGCCACACAGCTTGTGCAACACCGATTTTTTTAAAAAAACCGATATTTCCCAGGCTGAATTGCAGCTGACAAACCGGACAGACGCAAAAGCCGGATCCGTTCTGCAGTCGAAAAGGAGAAGTGAGTATTTTCGACACCGACTATTTGACGCAAACAAAACAGATGGTTGAATTCCCCCAAAAGAGAGGGGCAATGCTTTTTAATTCCTCATGCAAAATGTAGGCCATTCTCTGGTATGAGAAAGGGCACTCTTGATATGCCCGTGCGCACTCTTGTTGAGTCACCCTTCCTTGCAACATGTTTAACTCGCTTTCGGACGGAATTTTCTTCCCTTTTCTGAGTTTGCGCCATCCAGTAGTTGGGAGTCATGAAATGACAGGTAGTCCTCGACTTATGAACACCGTTAAGCCCAACATCTCCGTGGCTAAACGAAACATTGGAGTGAATTTCGCCCCCTTTCAAACCACTTTTCTTGCCGCCGTGGTTAAGTGAATCAGTGTGTAACCCCGTTGTTAAGTGAATCCGGCTCCCCCCCCCGTTGATTTTTGCTTTCACAAAAGGGGATCACATGAGCCGTGCTGCCCCCCACCCTCTGGGACGCTGCCCCCGTCATAAATATGAAACAGTGGCCAAGCGTCTGAATTGTATTCGCCGGACTGTGTGGGGATGCTACAACCGGTCGTAAGTGTGAAAAAACGGCCTTAAGTGTCACTTTTTTTCCAATCCCGTTGTAACTTTGAATGGTCGCTAATTGAACTGTTGTAAGTCAAGGACTAGCTGTAGCTCGCCAGGCATGGTTTTTAGCCCCACTTTGATTCAGGATTTGCAGGCTGGGTAACTGCATTGGCTAAGACTTTTGGAGACCTGGAGAAAAGTGTTAGGTGTGAACCCATTGACCTGGCACAGGATACAGATAGATACAGATTAATAGAGTTGGATGGGACCTTGGAGGTCATCTAGTCCAACCCCCCGCCGAAGCAGGAGACCCTACACCATTTCTGACAGATGGGAGTCCAGTCTTTTCTTGAAAGCCTCCAGGGATGAAGCTCCCACAACTTCCGAAGGCAACCTCTGTTCCATGGGTTGATTGTTCTCACTGTCAGGAAATTCCTCCTTATTTCCAGGTTGAATCTCTCCTTGGTCAGTTTCCATCCATTCTTCCTTCTCTGGCCTTCAAAGGTGCTTTGGAGAATAGCTTGACCCCCTTCCTCCTCTCTGGGGCAGCCCCTCAAATATTGGAAGATGCTCTCCTGTCTCCCCTGGTCCTTCTCTTCACTAGACCAGCCATGTCTTCTGTCCATCCATGGCTCACTCAGATGTCTTTCTTTCTTTCTTTCTTTCTTTCTTTCTTTCTTTCTTTCTTTCTTTCTTTCTTTCTTTCTTTCTTTCTTTCTTTCTTTCTTTCTTTCTTTCTTTTCTTCTTCTTTCTTCTTCTTCTTCCTTCTTCTTTCTTTCCTTCCTTCCTTCTTTTCTTTCTTTCTTTTTCTTTCTTTCTTGTGCTTTGGAAAACAGCTTGACCCCCTTCCTCCTCTCTGTGGCAGCCCCTCAAATATTGGAAGATGCTCTCCTGTCTCCCCTGGTCCTTCTCTTCACTAGACTAGCCAGGCCCAGTTCCTGCAACCGTTCATTGTAGGTTTTAGCCTCCACTCTGAATCTCATTGGGGGTCTCGGGGAAGGGGAGGGAGAGATGCCAGACAGAAGAGAAGCAAGGAGGGTGCAGAGGGACACTTACTGAGATGCTGTCCCCCGATGGAGGGCTCCGGAGACTTCCTTCCTTCTTTGGCCCATTGTTCCCGCACCTGGTGGGTCATGCTGGCCGTCAGCCGGGGTGGATGGTCTAACCGCAGCAGCTGGCACATCATTGTCCTTGCTCGCTGGAGGATTTGCTCCCGACAGCTGTGGGAGGTGGGATACAATCGACACAAGCTCAGCCACAGGTGTGGAGCGAAATTTGGGGTAATGGGAAGAGGGGGAGAAGATGGAGGTCCTCAATTTTCTCTTGGAAGCTGCTAAGTAAGGCATTCCTGCCTCGAAGGGCAGAAGGGAATAAATGAGGATATCTATCTATCTATCTATCTATCTATCTATCTATCTATCCATCCATCCATCCATCCATCCATCTTCCATCTATCCGACCATCCTATACATCCATCCTCTCTCTCTCTCTCTCTCCCTCTATCTTCCATCCATCCATCCATCCTATCCATCCATTGTTATCAATCTATCTATCTATCCATCCATCATCTATATCTCCATCCATCATTTATCCATCCATCCATCCACCCACCCATCCATCCTATATATCCATCGCTATCTCTATCTACAGTATCTATCTCTCTATCTCTCTATCTATCCATCATCTATATCTCCATCCATCATTTATCCACAACTCTACCCATCCATCCATCCTTCCATCCATGTTCCATCCTTCCATCCATGTTCCATCCATCCATCCATCCATCCTATACATCCATTGTTCTATCTATCTATCTATCTATCTATCTATCTATCTATCTATCCATCCATCATCTATATCTCCATCCATCATTTATCCATCCATCCACCCATCCATCCATCCTATACATCCATCACTATCTCTCTATCTACAGTATCTATCTATCTATCTATCTATCTATCTATCTATCTATCTATCTATCTATCTATCTATCTATCCATCATCTATATCTCCATCCATCATTTATCCATCCATCCATCCTTCCATCCATCTATGTTCCATCCATCCATCCATTCATGTTCCATCCATCCATCTATCCATCCATCCATCTATCCATCCATCCTATCCATCCATTGTTATCTATATCTATCATCTATCTATCTATCTATCTATCTATCTATCTATCTATCTATCTATCTATCTATCTATCTATCTATCCACCTATCCATCCATCCATCCATCCATCCACTCATCCATCCTCTTATCTATCAAATTTTGAAACTGCCCATCTCCCTCACCGAGGGACATTGGGCAGCGTACAGATACATAAAACGTACAGAAACGTAAAGCGTACAGAAACATAAAACCAGAAGATAATTTTTTTTAAAGAGGCAAGAAGGATTTCTAGTATAATGTTAAAAGTTAGTTTTAATTTTCTGCCCACTGGGGATTCCTCCGGATGGAGAGACGCAGGAGCAGGGACTGTGTTTGGAAACTCAGCACCACCTCTCTTCAGCCTTTCCAAATTATTACCCTCAGGCAGGGGCTTACTTTTCCCCCACCTGTGCCTGATGGGAGGTGTAGTCTGGCAGCTCCCAAATTTCTCTGCTGGCCCCCTCAAAAATCCCTTTGGGAAAAACATCCTTCCTTCATCATCCTTTCCTTTTATTCATCCTTACGTTGCCACCTCTACGATCCTCCCACATTTTCAGGAACATGCCCCCTCCCCCAAAAGCAGATCTGTCCCCAACCTCGCTTCTCCCCCCCCCAAAAAACCCTCCGGATGTGCTGATCCGTGGCATCGACCCCCAATCCTCCCTTCCCCAGTTCAGCGTACGTGGCTTGTCTTTTCACTCAAGGGTGAGGTGGGGAGGGGGTCGCTGCTTTTGCAACCCATCTTTGCACTGGCATCCTTTCCTAGCCAGGTGGGGATTTGAACCCAGCTCCTCCCAGCCAGCCCCTCAACTTTTCTGGGGCTCCCCGACATTTGGAGGGGCAAGGGGGGAGGGGGTCTTGCTGGAAAGCCTTACCTTTCGTTGAGAGTCAGGGCAGAAAACTCACGAGTTCGCTGCTCCCCCGTGGGGTCTCCCTTCCGGAGGTCGGAGGTGCCAGCGGAGGGCACCCCGCTGGCCAGCAAGAGGTGGAGGAAAAAGAGGAAGAACATGGCACCGGGATCAGATGGGCTGTCGGAAATGGGCACAGGTGGGCACCGAAAGCAAGCAAGCCTTCTGAATGGGGATGCGATGGGACGCTGGGAAGACACTTTTATCTGTCTCTCCTCCAGGCCTGAGGTGACCTTGGCATTTTTCAAACTCCTCATCCCACGAGGACAGGAACTGCCGAAGGAGAGTCGGGTGCCAGCTCTTCGGTCCACCCCAGGGGGGCAAAGCCAGGCATTCTCGCCACCCCTTGGGACCTTCCCTCCCTCCCTCCCTCTCTCTCTCTATCTCCTTCCCTCCCTCCTTTCGTCCATCCCTCCAAACAGTGGAACGACCAAAATCAGGATTTTGGCATCACGGATTTGCCAGGTTCTCAAATGGGAGCGGTTGGATTTGGAGGTGGGTGGGAAGACCGCTTGGGCTTGGGGTGGGGAGGGCAGGGAGGTGGAGAGGATGCTCCTGAGCTTGAGCAGAGCGCAGAGTAAACCTTGCCCCAGAGCAGGGGTGAAATCCAGCAGGTTCTGCAGAACCGGTAGCGGAAATTTTGAGTAGTTAGGAAAACTGGCAAATGCCACCTCTGGCTGGCCCCAGAGTGGGGTGGGAATGGAGATTTTGCAATAGCCTTCCCCCAGGAGTGGGGAGGGAATGGGGATTTTGCAGTATCCTTCCCCCAGGAGTGGGGAGGGAATGGGGATTTTGCAGTATCCTTCCCCCAGGAGTGGGGAGGGAATGGGGATTTTGCAGTATCCTTCCCCCAGGAGTGGGGAGGGAATGGGGACTTTGCAGTATCCTTCCCCCAGGAGTGGGGTGGGAATGGGGATTTTGCAATATCCTTCCCCCAGGAGTGGGGTGGGAATGGGGATTTTGCAATATCCTTCCCCCAGGAGTGGGGAGGGAATGGGGATTTTGCAGTATCCTTCCCCCGCCCCGCCCCCAAGCCCCGCCCCCCAAGCCACACTATGCCCCCCAAGCCACCGGTAGTAAAAAAAATTGGATTTCACCACTGCCCCAGAGGGCATAGTAAACTTTACCCCAAAAATGCTTTTTTTTTCAGGAGGCAACTGGATTTTGGAAGATGTTTTTCACTTCTCATCTAAGAAGAAAAGAGCTGAAGAAGCTTCTTGGATGAGAAGCGAAACGTCTTCAAAAGACAAAAAAACCCCAAAACCAGAAAATCCAGTTGCCTCTTGAAAAAAGCACCTTTGGGATGACAGAGAATCTCTACAGGCCTTGCCCCGAAAGGATGCATCAGCAGGTGGGGGAATTCTATAGGGTCGAGAATGATAGAGTTGGAGGGGACCTTGGAGATCTTCTAGTCTGACCCCTTTGCTCAAGCAGGAGCCCCTATGCCCATTTCAGACAAATGGCCGTCCAGTCTCTTCTTAAAAACCTGGGAGCACCAGGTGGCGCAGTGGTTAGAGTGCAGTACTGCAGCTACTTCAGCTGACTGGTAGTTCAGCAGATCAGCGGATCAAATCTCACCGGCTCAAGGTTGACTCAGCCTTCCATCCTTCCGAGGTGGGTCAAGTGAGGACCCAGACCGTTGGGGGGCAAGATGCTATTTAGTATACTGTCTTTGGTGTAAGCCGCCCAGAGTCCTCGGAGAGTGGGTGGCATAGAAATATGAATAATAATAATAATAATAATAATAATAATAATAATAATAATAATAATAATAATAATAATCTTACATCCTCCGACGATACCTTAACAGTTCCTAGGTCCTTGGTTAGGACTCGAGCTGCTGAGCTATTAACCAGCCTCAAAGGCTGTGAATCTCACTAAAGATTAACCAATAATAATAATAATAACTTCTGGTGGCAAACAGTTCCGCGGGTTAATTGTTCTCACTGTCAAGAAATTTCTCCTTAATTCCAGGTTGCTTCTCTCCTTGGTTAGTTTCCATCCGTTGCTTCTTGTCCTGCCTTGGGGGCTTTGGAGAATAGGTTGACCCCCTCTTCTTTGGGGCAGCCCCTCAAATATTGGACCTCTGCTATCATGTCTCCCCTATTTCTTCTTTTCCTGCAACCGTTGTAGCCTCCAAGCCCCTAATCCTCATTGTTGCTCTTCTCTGCACTCTTTCTAGAGTCTCCAAATCTTTTTTTGTATCGTGGAAGACCAGAACTGGACGCAATATTCCAAGTGTGTCCTCTTCAGCGTTTTATTTTCAGTGGCATCGGAACAATTTTAATTAAAAGGGAATTTTTTCCTGAGCATAAGCAGAGTTCAGTGAAAACCCACATATACACGCAATCTTGCTCACAACATTGGTTGTTGTTGTTTTTTTTTCATCTGAGAGAAAGATGCAGGAGGGAAAAAAATCTTATTCGTTTGTTTGTGGCCGCTGAATTTATTTATCTACTGATCTTCACCCACAATCTAACATGTCTCTGTCCAGATCCTTGAAACCATGAGGACTAGAAGCTTCATTTCCTTCCAGAGGGCAGGAGGATCATAAACCATGGGTGAAATACAGCAGGTTCTCCAGAACTGGTAGCGGAAATTTTGAGTAGTTCGGAGAACTGGCAAATACCACCTCTGGCTGGCCCCAGAGTGGGGTGGGAATGGAGATTTTGCAGTATCCTTCCCCTGGAGTGGGCTGGGAATGGGGATTTTGCAGTATCCTTTCCCCTGGAGTGGGGTGGGAATGGGGATTTTGCGGTATCCTTCTCCTGCCACGCCCACCAAGCCACGCCCACAGAACCGGTAGTAAAAGAAATTGGATTTCACCACTGCCATAAATGGTTAGCATGCCGAAGGATTCCATCCCTTCCTTCCTTCCCTCCCTCCTTCTTTCCTTCCTTCCTTCCTTCCCTCCCTCTTTCTTTCCTTCCCTCCCGCCCTCCTTCCTTCCTTCTTCCTTCCTTCCCTCCCTTTCCTTCCTTCCCTCCCTCCCTCCTCCTTTCCTTCCTTCATCCTTCCTTCCCTCCCTCCTTCTTTCCTTCCTTTTCTTCTTTCTTTCCTTCCTTCCCTCCCTTTCCTTCCTTCCCTCCCTCCTTCCTTCCTTCCTCCCTCCCTTCCTTCTTCCTTCCTCCTTCCTTCCCTCCTTTTCCTTCCTTCCTTCCTTCCTTCCTTCCTTCCTTCCTTCCTTGAAAGTTTTAAAGAAGAGATTGGACAGCCATTTGTCCGAAATGGTATAAGGTTTCCCGCTTGAGCAGGAGGGGGGTTGGACTAGAAGACCTCCAAGGTCCCTTCCGACTCTTCTTATTGGGTGACTACCTGCCCTTCCTTTCTGAAATTCAGAGAGTCAACCCTGGAGAAGAAAGCCTGAAGGACTGCTCCTCCCTTGCCCCCCTCCCAGCCCTCACATTCCTCCCGAATAGACACCTCTCTCGTCTATCAGCTATAAATAACACACACACACACACCCCACAGGTCCGTGGGGAGGAATGTTCCTATGGGGCGGGGAGTTGGAAAGCCCAGGGCAGGCTGTGGGGCTGCGCATCGCCAGCCGGAGATTAGCTGTTCACAAACAGCTTCTTGGACACCTGCAACCCAAGGTCTTCACATCAAACGTTTGCCGTGAGCTGCGGCCCAGGGGACGGGGGATGCGAGGCGTCCCCCTTTGAAGATTACAAAACCCTCGGCCTCGATTCGGCTGGAGCGCTGGCGAAAAGCCCTTCTCTGGCCTTTTGATGTTTTGGGAGCCTCCCAGGTAGGAATGTTCAGCATGTTGCAGAAGTCAAGGCAAACGGTTGTTTGGGTGTCTTGAGAACAGCGAGTACTACAGAACCCGAAGGAGGGATGGAAGGGAACCTCTTGAGGTCTTCTAGTCCAACCCCCTGCCTTTTTTTTTTTTTTAACCGTCCTGGTCAAACGGACGTCCAAGTCGATTTTTGCTGGAGTCTTCTCCAGCACCAGAGTTCAAAGGCCTCCATCCTTTGGCCTTCTCAGCCTTCCTTATGGTCCAACTTTCACCGCCGTCCATTGCAACGGGGAACACCAGAGCCTTGACTAGACACACTTTTGTTGGCAGGGTGATGTCTCTGCTTTAGTATGCTGAGGTTGGGGTAGCGAGAATTAATACATTTCATGTGACGTTCTAGTACCACTTTATAAGGCCTTGGTAAGGCCACACTTGGCATCCAGTTTTGGTGGCCACGATATAAAAAAGATGTGAAGACAAGTGGAAAGAGTGCAGAGAAGAGCAACAAAGAGGATTAGGGGATTGGAGGCTATAACATACGAAGAACGGTTGCAGGAACTGGGTATGTCTAATGGAAAGAAGAACCAGGGAGACATGATAGCAGAGGTCCAATATTTGAAGGGCTGCCCCAAAGAAGAGGGGAGTCAACCTATTCTCCAAAGGACCAGAAGGCAGGACAAGAAGCAACGGATGGAGACTCACCAAGGAGAGGAGCAAGCTAGAACTAAGGAGGAATTCTCCAATGGAACAGCTGGCCTCCAAAAGTTGGAGGTGCTCCATCACTGGAGGCTTTCAAAAAAAGCAATTGGACAACCATTTGTTGTCCAATGAAATGGTATAGGGTCTCTTGCTTGAGGAGGGGCTTGGACTAGAAGACCTCCGAGGTCCCTTCCAACTCTAGGTTCTACAGATGAGCAGCCAAACGCCTCAAACGATATAATAAAAAATGAGTCCAGACAGGCAACTTCAGACAACTCTATCTGGATGACTGAGAATTTTCATCAACATTGGTTTGTTGTTAGTTGCGAAGTCGTGTCCGACCCATCGCGACCCCATGGACAATGTTCCTCCAGGCCTTCCTGTCCTCTACCATCCTCCGGAGTCCATTTAAGCTCACGCCGACTGCTTCAGTGACTCCATCCGGCCACCTCCTTCTCTGCCGTCCCTTTCTTCTCCTTTTGCCCTCCATCGTTCCCAGCATTAGGCTCTTCTTCCAGGGAGTCCTTCCTTCTCCTTAGGTGGCCAAAGGATTTGAGTTTCCTCTTCAGGATCTGGCCTTCTAGAGAGCAGTCAGGGTTGATCTCCTCTAGGACCGACCGGTTGGATGGCCTTGCAGCCCAAGGGACTCGCAGGAATCTTCTCCAGCACCAGAGTTCAAAGGCCTCCATCCTTTGGCCTTCTCAGCCTTCCTTGTGCTCCAACTTTCCCAGCCGTCCATTGCAACTGGGAAAACCATAAGCCTTGACTAGACGCACTTTTGTTGGCCGGGTGATGTCTCTGCCTTTTAGGATGCTGTCTTCAACATTGGTTAGAGACATTTTTTGTTCTTCTTGTTCGTGCAACGATTGATTGATTTAGCCATGACTACAAAAGTTCCAAGAACTTCAAAAAGGAAAAGCAGAGGTTGCTCGCTTTTGAGATGAAGGGCTAAAAATTCACACCTCGCTTTCCTGTCGTCGTGGTTTTCCCCTCCACGCTCTCCCTCCGCCCCCCCGCAATCTTCATCTTTCTTTCCATCCTTTGTCGATACTTTCACAACGAACCCCAGATGCAACAAGACGCGCCCGCAATGCGGCTGCCCAAGCTCGCCGCTTGCTTGACGCTATGGGCGGCCTGGATCTCTGCTCTTCACGCCAACTTTACCTTTCCTTCATATCCGGGCATGGTAAGGAGACCCCTGGTAGGGGAAGGAGATGGGGGTGGTCGAAAGAAGGGAGTAAAATGGCTATCAGTTGCTCTCTTTTTCCCCCCCCACCCATCTCTGATCAGCCTTGCAACTTGCCTATAATAATTTGCCGTGCAGAAAATAACAGAATTGCTGGAAGGGATCTTGGAGGTCTTCTAGTCCAACCCTCTGCTTGAGCATCTACCATTTCAGATAGATGGTTTTCCAGTCTCTTCTTGAAAGCCTCCAGTGATGGAGCACCCACAATTTCTGGTGGCAAGCAGTTCCACTGAGTAATTGTCCTCACTGTCAGGAATTTTCTCCTTATTCCTAGGTTGCTTCTCTCCTTGATTAGTTTCCATCCGTTGCTTCTTCTCCTGCCTTCAGGTGCTTTGGAGAATAGGTTGACCCCCCTCTTCTTTGTAGCAGCCTCTCAAACCAGGGCCTGGTGGCTCAGCAGACTGATAACATTGTGATTAACACCAGCTGTCTGCAATTACTGTAAGTTCGAATCTCACCAGGCTTCCATCCTTTCTAAGGTAGGTAAATTGAGGACCCAGTTTGTGGGGGCAATAAGCTGACTTTGTATAAATATACAAAAGACTTTGTATAAATATACAAAAGTATGAAGGCTATTGCTTAACACATTGTAAGCCGCCCTGAGTCTCCGGAGAAGGGCGGCATAGAAATTAAAGCAAAAAAAAAAATTAGAAACCAGCTGTCACCTTTATTTATTTATTTAGTTTGTACATGTTTATGTACAGGTATGTTCCCACCAATCCTTTTCTTCCTTAGGCTAAACACACCTAGTGCTCTTAACCATTCATCATTTGGTTTAACCTCCAGTCCTCTAATAGAATAATAGAAAAACATGGAAGGGACCTTGGAGGTCTTCTAGTCCAACCCCGTTCAAGCAGGAGATCCTATTCCATTTCAGACAAACGGCTGTCCAATCTTTTCCTGGAAACCCTCCCATTGATGGGGCACCCACAACTTCTGGTGGGCAAGTCATTCCACTGATTAATTGTTCTTACCGTCAGGAAATTTCTCAGTTCTAAATCTCTCTTGGATCTATAGATGTGTTGGATAAATCATCCATCAAAATCTTTTAATTTTCTGCCGGGCTCTCCGGTGATTCTCCATATTATCAGGGGAGAGAATTTTTTTTTTTTCCCAGACTGGAAAATGCAGGCTGCTATATAGTTGATAGAATAATGGGGAGAGCTATCGTTAAGTTTGCCACCAGCTTCAGAAACGTCTTCGAGAAAAAATCTTTTTAAAAAAATTCTCAAGCAGCTTGAGAATAAAGTAAAAAAAAAACAGAAGCCTCGTCTTTGACCAAAGGAAGGAAGGAAGGAAGGAAAGAAGGAAGGAAAGAAGGAAGGACAGAAAGGAAGGAAGGAAGGAAAGAAGGAAGGAAGGAAAGAAGGAAGGAAGGAAGGAAGGAAGGAAAGAAGGAAGGAAGGAAGGAAGGAAGGAAAGAAGGAAGGAAGGAAAGAAGGAAGGAAGGAAAGAAGGAAGGAAGGAAGGAAGGAAGAAAGAAAGAAAGAAAGAAAGAAAGAAAGAAAGAAAGAAAGAAAGAAAGAAAGAAAGAAAGAAAGAAAGAAAGAAAGAAAGAAAGAAAGAAAGAAAGAAAGAAACAGCTCTGCATTCAACCGATTTTCCCAGAAATATAAAAGAGAATTAACAAGGCTAACACAGAGCTTCTGGGGAGTATTGCGTTTGTAGAAAAAAAAAAAAATCAAATGCAAAGGGAAATTTATCTTTGCAATGTTTTTTTATTCTGAAGCGGGTTAACTTTTTATGCACTGTCGTTTAATGCAGATGGAGATGACTGGGAGGTTCCAGGAGTTTATGGTGAAGTTTTCCAAAACCTACAATAGCCAAGAAGGTAAGCAAGCAATATCTATGAATTTCTCCTTCTCCCTCTACTACACCGTGAATCTTAAAAGTAGCCCAAGAAATGGGATTCTGATCAATCGTAGAAGAGGTTGAATCTAGCTGTGTTTTTAGTATGTGTGAATGCAAATTTGAATAATAAGAGTTGCAGCCCACTCATCTTCAAGCATTCTGGCTGGGGGATTCTGGGAGTTGAAGTCTACCCATTTTAAGGCATATTGGCTGGGGGATTCTGGGAGTTGAAGTCCAGACATCTTAAAGCATTCTGGCTGGGGGATTCTGGGAGTTGAAGTTCACCCATCTTAAAGCATGCTGGCTGGAGAATTCTGGGAATTGAAGTCCACCCATCTTAAAGCATTCCGGCTGGGGAATTCTGGGAGTTGAAGTCTACCCATCTTCAAGCATTGTGGCTGGGGGATTCTGGGAGTGGAAGTTCACCCATCTTAAGGCATGCTGGCTGGGGAATTCTGGGAATTGAAGTCCACCCATCTTAAAGCATTCCGGCTGGGGAATTCTGGGAGTTGAAGTCTACCCATCTTCAAGCATTGTGGCTGGGGGATTCTGGGAGTTGAAGTCCAGACATCTTAAAGCATTCCGGCTGGGGAATTCTGGGAGTTGGTCCACCCCTCTTAAAGCATTCCGGCTGGGGAATTCTGGAAGTCGAACTCCACACCACACAAGCTGCCGAGGTTGAAAAAAAAACACCGTTCTAAAAGCATTAAATTTCAGCTGCGTTCATTTTCATCTGTCCAGCTGCAAATTTTGAAGCATTTCAGGGCACTCCATGAGCTTAAAATATAATTATTTTGACTCCTGAGGCATTAAAACAACAACAGGGACGCGAAAAAGGATTTGGCTACCAGACTTTGCCATTCTCTCTTTCTGGAATGGTTTACCTGACTTCTCAATCTATTTAAATCACGGCTAGAAGCAGGCAAATCAGGATCTAATGTCAGCTAAGCATCCACGTCTGTAACTAAGTGGGTTTCTCTGCTTCCTGCCCCTTTTGATTTCTTCACCCCTAGAAATGATTTACCGCTTTAAGGTCTTTGCCCAGAACATGGAAACCAGCCGAATCTTGCAGGACACCGAGCTGGGGACGGCACAATACGGGATCACCCCTTTCAGCGACCTGACAGGTAAGATGTCAAGGGAAATGAAATGTTTGATCAATGGGGGGAAGGGGGATTAATAACAAGGAGGCAGAAGAACAGAATGCAGAATACGGCCTACAACCAGTTCAATATGTTCAGTGAGAACAATCAACCCATGGAACTAGAAGTTGACTTCGGAAGTTGTGGGAGCTTCCATCCCTGGAGGCTTTCGAGAAGAGAGTGGACTGCCCGTTTGTCAGAAATGGTGTAGGGTCTCCTGCATGGATGGCGGGGGGGTTGGACTAGATGACCTACAAGGCAGGGGTGAAATGCTCCCGGTTCAGACCGGATCGCCCGATCCGGTAGCGATGCAGGCGGGTGGTTCGGAGAACCGGTAGCAAAAATCCTTGCCCCCCTCCCATGCCCAGCTGAGCCGCACAATCATCAGAGGCTTTTTTTAAAAAAAAACTTTTAAAAGCATTTTTCCTACAACCTCTTCGGCGAAAAAAATGCTTTTAAAAGTAAAATACTGCAAAATTACTGCAGGTTCGAATCTCCCCAGGCTCAAGGTTGACTCAGCCTTCCATCCTTTCTAAGGTGGGTAAACTGAGGACCCGGTTTGTGGGGGCAATAAGCTGACTTTGTATAAATATACAAAAGTATGAAGGCTATTGCTTAACGCATTGTAAGCCGCCCTGAGTCTCCGGAGAAGGGCGGCATATAAATCAAATTAAAAATAAATTAGTGGTTAGGGTTTGCAGTACAGCAGCTACTTCAGCTGACTGCTAGTTCAGCAGATCAGCGGATCAAATCTCACCGGCTCAAGGTTGACTCAGCCTTCCATCCTTCCAATGTGGGTCAAATGAGGACCCAGATTGTTAGGAGGGGCAAGATGCTATTTAGTATACTGTCTTTGGTGTAAGCCGCCCAGAGTCCTCGGAGAGTGGGCGGCATAGAAATATGAATAATAAAACTAAAATAAATAAATAAAAATAATAAATTTAAAAAAAAAAGCCTCTGATGATCGCGTGGCTCAGCTGGGATTGTCAAAGGCTTTTAAAAGGAAAAAAAACCCCCTTTTTTACAGGATATTTTACAGTATCCTTCCCCTGCCACGCCCACCAAGCCACACCCACAGAACCGGTAGTCCAAAAGTTTGAAACCCATCACTGATGTGAAACCAAGATTGAATGATGGCTTCTGTTAACTGGGTTTTATCGCTTCTGACTAACCAGCTTCTTTAGTCGGCTCCATCGATTTTCAATTGGGTGAAGGTCTGGGCTATTCCCAGGCCATTCCAGCAGTGGAATAGGATTCTCTTGAAAAAATACACTTTTCCCATAAAGTTTTCCACCATTTTGGCCCGCTACTGTATGAAATGGCGATGGGGAGGCAGTGCCCAAGAAGCAGGAGGGGAACATTCTCAAAGCAGCCAAACAACCTTATTTACTTCAATAAAGTGAACTGCGCCGGCTAAACCGCGCTACCCCGGTTTGCAAATTTGGAAAGTGTTTGACAGCGTATGCGAGCAAAGACCCCGGCGACCTTGGCTTCGCGGTGGGGCTGGTGGTGAGCAGACTGTTCCCTTCCTGCAGAAGTGGGCGGACCACCGTGCCGCTGTGGGCAAGCAGGATGTCTAAAGATAAGCCCACCGCAGGACTCAACTTTCCTGCAGGGTCTAAACCAGCTGAGTTTTTCAGCCTTGTTGCATCGACACAAAATGGTTAAAATCTCTCCGTAGCTTGCTCAGCCGGTCCAAGCTGGTCAAGGGACCCCAAGGTGTGTCTTTTTTTTTTCAAGACACGGCTGGACGTCTTGTCCAGTTTTCTATTTTCCAAAGCACCATTAAAGGAAAAGGTTCCCCTCGCACATATGTGCTAGTCGTTCCTGACTCTAGGGGGCGGTGCTCATCTCCGTTTCAAAGCCAAAGAGCCAGCGCTGTCCGAAGACGTCTCCGTGGTCGTGTGGCCGGCATGACTCAGTGCCAAAGGCACACGGAAAACGCTGTTCCCTTCCCACCAAAGGTGGTCCCTGTTTTTCTACTGGCATTCTTTTTACGTGGTTTCGAACTGCTAGGTTGGCAGAAGCCGGGACAAGGAAAGGGAGCTCACCCCGTTATGCGGCGGCACTAGGGATTCGAACCGCCGAACAGCGTCTTAGCCACTGAGCCACCGCGTGCCTTAAAAGCACCATTAGGCAAGACAAAAAAAAAAAAAAAAACTAACCAAGGAGAGAAGCAACCTAGAATGAAGGAGAAATTTCCTGACAGTGAAAATAATTAATCTGTCAACTTGTCTTCAGAAGTAGTGGGTGCTCCATCACTGGAGGCTTTCAAAAAAGAGACTGCAGAACCATTTGTCTGAAATGATATAGAGGTTCCTGCCTGAGCAGGGGGTTGGACTAGAAGACCTCCAAGGTCCCTTCCTACTCTGCTATTCCTTCCTTCCTTCCTTCCTTCCTTCCTTCCTTCCTTCCTTCCTTCCTTCCTAAAAAGAAGGCTTTTAAGAAGAGACTGGACCACCATGATACTGGGGTTGCATCAAAACCAAGAGAAGGAAAAGACGTGTAATTGTGAGCTTCTTGGACAGAGGAGGAGCAACGATTGTGGTTTCCAAAGCACAAGAAGGAGGGAAAAAAAAAGAAACAAGGAGGAGGGAGAAAGGGATAGAATAGAATGAATGAGCTGGAAGGGATCTTGGGGATCTTCTAGTCCAGCCCACGGCTCAAGCAGGAGAACCTATAATATTTCAGATTAAAAATCTCCAGTGATGGAGCGCCCATGACTTCTGGTGGCAAGCAGTTCCACTGGTTAATTGTCCTCACTGTTAGGAAGTTTCTCCTTAATTCCAGCTTGCTTCTCTCTTTGATAAGGAAGGAAGGAAGGAAGGAAGGAAGGAAGGAAGGAAGGAAGGAAGGAAGGAAGGAAGGAAGGATGGATTGATGGAGGGAGGGAAACAAGGAAGGAAGGAAGGATTGAGGGAGGGAGGGAGGGAGGGAGGGAAACAAGGAAGGAAGGAAGGAAGGATTGAGGGAGGGAAACAAGGAAGAAGGAAGGATTGAGGGAGGGAGGGAAGGAAGGAAGGATTGAGGGAGGGAGGGAAACAAGGAAGGAAGGAAGGAAGGATTGAGGGAGAGAGAGAGGCAAACAAGGAAGGAAGGAAGGAAGGAAGGAAGGAAGGAAGGAAGGAAGGAAGGATTGAGGGAGGGAGGGAGGGAGGGAGGGAAACAAAGAAGGAAGGAAGGATTGAGGGAGGGAGGGAGGGAAACAAGGAAGGAGGGAAGAAAGGAAGGAAGGATTGAGGGAGGGAGGGAGGGAAACAAGGAAGGAAGGAAGAAAGGAAGGATTGAGGGAGGGAGGGAGGGAAGGAAGGAAGGAGGGAAGGAAGGAAGGATTGAGGGAGGGAGGGAGGGAGGGATGGAAGGAAGGAAGGAAGAAAAAGATAGAGAAGAAAGGAAGGAAAATGTGTCTGAAATGGTATAGGGTTTCCTGCTTGAGCAAGGGGTTGTCCTCCTCCTTCCCTCCTTCCTTCCTTCCTTCCTTCCTTCCTTCCTTCCTTCCTTCCTTCCTTCCTTCCTCCTTCCTTCCTCCTCCCTCCCTCCCTCCCTTCCTTGAAGGTTTTAAAGAAGAGATTGCACAGCCATTTGTCTGAAATGGTCCAGGGTTTGCTGCTTGAGGGAAGGAAGGAAGGAAGGAAGGAAGGAAGGAAGGAAGGAGGGAGGGAGGGAGGGAAGGAAGGATGGAAGGAAGGAAGAAAAAAATAGGGAAGAAAGGAAGGAAAACGTGTCCGAAATGGCATCGGGGTTCCTGCCTGAGCAGGGAGACTCAGAGACCTCCGAAGGACCTCCTTCCCAACTCTTGTCAATTCTGTTCAACTGAAAACGGGTGAAGTGTGTGGCGGGAAGCTTATCTCAGCGCGGCTTGCAGGAAACAGCTTGGGACGGCCAATCCTACAATAGCTCTTTTGTTTGGGGGCACTGCAAGCGTTGTGTCCTTTAAGCGGTGTGTTTTATCCAACCCCGGTTGAAGGGATGAGTTGCAGGAGTGGGTGGGTGGGTGGCTGGGTGGGCAACTCGGCTGGCACCACACCCGGTGGCATACCAAGCCAAACAAGTCCAAGAAAGTTTGAATTCCTGGGGAATATTTTGCCCGAGTCGCACAAAAAGGATCAAAAGAATTGGCCCCCCGTCCCCCATCCCACCATCTTTCCCTACTCCTGTGTGTGCGTGTGTGTGTGTGTGTGTGTATGTGTGTGTGTGTGAAGGTACACAACCCCCAAGGCCGGCCAAATTATTTTGGCAGCCGAGGCCGAAAATTCCACACGGACGTCTCCCCTCTTGGGGGAAAAAAGAGTAAAAATAGAAAATTAATAAAAAGAAGGTTTTGCCACCCCCAACGCCTGCAGTGGGTCACCTCTCCTCCGTCTGTTTTTTTTAATAAAACGGTTTGGACCGGCGGGGTTCCAATTGCCAAAGGGCAGGTAAGGCCGGAGGGCTAAGCGGGAAAGCTTGAGAGTCCTCGCCTTACAATGCTGCGTTTAGTGACCGTTCAAAGTTACGACGTCGGAATTGGGGGGGGGGAAAGTGACCCAGGACCGTTGTGCCACACTGAGGCTGCTTTTTTTAAGCTTCGGCGCTTTTTGGCAAAAGAGAAAGTGAAGATTAACCGAGTCGTCCGCCGGATGCTTCCTCCACGGGGCACTGGACTACAATCAGGGGAGGGATTCAGCCGGTTCGGACGAATCGGATGTTAATTTTAATCTGGTTCGCCAAACTGGTTATTCCAAGGACTGGCTGACCCCGCCCACCCTGGCCCTCCCCTCCCAGGAGTCCTCACACGGCCCGTTTTGGATGCCAGATAAGTGCAGGGCGCGCGCGGAAACTCGGGGAGGGTGAAAAATGGGCCTACCGGAAGTTTGGGAAGCCAGTTTCCAGCCTCCAGAGCCTGGAGAGTCCGTTTTCGCCCTCCCGGAGGCTCGAGAAAAACCTCCGGAGCCTGGGGAGGGCAAAAACCACCCCCCCCAACCAGTAGTAGGTTTCAAAATTTTTTACTACCAGTTCTTGGTTTGGTTGGTGTGGCAGGGGAAGGATACGGTAAAATCTCCATTCCCACCCCATTCCAGGGGAAGGTTACTGCAAAATCCCCATTTCCTCCCCATCAATTGGGACTCGGGAGGCAGAGAATAGATGGGGGTGGGACCAGCTAGAATTTTTACTACCGGTTCTCTGAACTGGTCAGAACCTGCTGAAACCCACCTCTAGCCTCCCACTCCCACACCCGCCGTGGTGCAGGAGGCCGACTAGGCCACGCCCACCAAAGCCACACCCACCCAGCAACCAGGCAGAGAACCCTTTGCTAAAATTTTTGAAGCCCATCCCTGGCCGGATGCTTCCCCCACGGGGCACTGTACTACAATACCCCTCATCCCTCACCCCCACACAACTCTAACAGCCGGTTAGAGAAGACTGGAGTTGTATAAGCCGAAGCCCCCGGCGAATAATATAAAAATGTTGTTTTCTCCCCTTACGCAGAAAGCGAGTTCGCTAAGAATATTTGCACCCCGGCTTTGCGGCCTGGGCCGTTTGGGCCGACGGAGCCGCGCCGCAGCTTCGCGACGGCACCCCGATTCTGCGACTGGAGAAAAAAGGCCTTGTCTCCCGTGAAGAACCAGGTGAGCGTTGGACAGAGAGTGCTGCCAAATTGATCTTCTGCAAACTAACGTCCCATTGGACGCCGATTTCCGTCTTCTTCTCAGCCAGCTGGGACTTGTGGTGGTGATGGACGTGACTTACGCGGAGCGTAAATTTTAGGGAGAGTAGGGACGTTTTCCAGCCTTGATGACGTTGAAGGGGGAAGATGGATTCCTCCAGCCTTGTTGAGTGAGGTTGTCTTGAACTACTGAATAAAGTCCCTAGAGTAGTTTTTTTTTTTTTTTTTGCAACTTTGGAAAGTTTAAGTGGGGTGGACGTCAACTCCCCGAATTTCCCAACAAGCTGACTGTCAAGTTTCCGAAAGATGCCCTAATTAATTCATGAGCCATGATCCAAACTTCAAAGGAAATATAGTCATTTATTAGGAGCAACATTCCGGCAATACTGGGATGCAGTTAGGACTGATCCTACATAGATTTACGTTCCCTTATGACCCTGTCTCTCCCCTCCTCTCTGGCCATGTAATAAATCACATTCTCCAATTAACCGCTTTGGCTGGCTGGGAAACCTAACACCCTCCTTCTGATTGCGGTCAGGAAGAATGTATGGAATGCACTTCAGTTCTCCCTCCCTCCTGCTCATGGCAACTTGAAAGCTTTGCAAGTTGACACTGACCTCTTAAAAGAATGCTGGCTAGGGGATTCTGGGAGTTGAAGTCTATCCATCTTAAAGGACTCCTTGGGGAATTCTGGGAGTTGAACTCAACCACTCTTAAAGCAGGCTCACTGGGGAATTCTGGGAGTTGAAGTCCATTCGTCTTAAAGGGCTCAATGGAGAATTCTGGGAGTCTTGAAGTCCATCCATTTTAAAGGGCTCAATGGGGAATTCTGGGAGTTAAGTCCACCGATCTTAAAGCATGCTGGCTGGGGAATTCTGGGATTTGAACTCCACCCATCTTAAAAGAATGCCGGACTAGAAGACCTCCAAGGTCCCTCTCAAATTTGTCAGCAGAGAGAAACCTAGATAACAGATAAAATGAGCAGCTGAATTAAGGATGGGGCTCAATTGTACGTAGGGCCCCAGTGTTTTCATTCAATAGAGCCAGGTGTGCAGATTGTGAATTAGGATCACCTCAATCTTACGACCGCCTTCTCCTTTACAACAACCCTGTAGGGTAGGGCCAGGATGAAGGCTAGTGATGCCCCCCGGATTAGTTCATGCAATTTCTCTTGGCAACTATAAAGAATGGTTGCAAAGCTGGTTGAGGAACTCTGGGAGTCAAAGTCCACCAGTCTTAAAGCGGCCAAGTTGGGAGACTCCTGTTCTATAGGGTACTGAAGTTGCAATGTGAATTTTCCTGCAGTGTTAACAGCCCTGGGATACCAGAGCCGTGGTTAGAAATGGAAGCACACGGGCCAGGAGATCCTAGTTTAATGTTTCCTAACTCTTTTCCTAGGGAGAGTGCTGCTCCTGCTGGGCTTTTGCAGCCGTCTCCAACATAGAGGCACTGTGGAAGATTCACCGAAATGTGAATTGCAGCCTCTCGGTGCAAGGTATGGCAGTTATGACGGGAAGGAAGGTGAGCGAGGAGGGTTCAGTCAAGTGTTTCTCAATCCCAGCAATTTTAAGATGGGTGGACTTCAACTCCCAGAATTCCTTGCTGGCCAGGGAATTCTGGGAGTTGAAGTCCACCCATCTTAAACCAGGCTGGCTGGGGGGATTCTGGGAGTTGAAGTCCACCCATCTTAAACCAGGCTGGCTGGGGGATTCTGGGAGTCCAAGTCCACCCCTCTTAAAGCATGCTGGCTGAGGAATTCTGGGAGTTGAAATCCACTCATCTTAAAGCAGGCTGGCTGGGGGATTCTGGGAGCTGAAGTCCATCCCTCTTAAAGCATGTTGACTGGGGGATTCTGGGAGTTGAAATCCACTCATCTTAAAGCAGGCTGGCTGGGGGATTCTGGGAGCTGAAGTCCATCCATCTTAAAGGATGCTGGATGGGGAATTCTGGGAGTTGAATTCCACCCATCTTAAAGGATGCTGGCTGGGGGATTCTGGGAGTTGAAATCCACTCATCTTAAAGCATGCTGGCTGGGGGATTCTGGGAGTTGAAGTCCACCCCTCTTAAAGCATGCTGGTTGGGGGATTCTGGGAGTTGAAGTCCAGCCATCTTAAAGCATGCTGGCTGGGGGATTCTGGGAGTTGAAGTCCACCTATCTTAAAGCATGCTGGCTGGGGGATTCTGGGAGTTGAAGTCCAGCCATCTTAAAGCATGCTGGCTGGGGGATTCTGGGAGTTGAAGTCCACCTATCTTAAAGCATGCTGGCTGGGGAATTTTGGGAGTTGAAGTCCATCCATTTTAAAATTGCTGGGATTGAGAAACACTGGGTAGTTCCCTCAATGGCGAAGCAAACTCAGATTGGGGAGTGGGGACAGCCTTGGTGGTACAGAGGTCTGACTAATTTCCTTTCCAACTCTGTTAATGTTAGACTGTCCGACAACCTTCTTCGAAATAATCTTATTTTTTTCTTTTTCTTTCTATCTTTCGCTCTAGAACTCGTCGACTGCACCTACCCTTCCAGAGGAGGCTGTGAAGGGGGCTACGTCTGGGATGCGTTGCACTATGTCTTCAACAAAAGTATGTGGACAACCCAGTTTGTCGTGTTCTTTTGTTGTAGCGTTTAAGTGAGTTCACACAACTACACCCCCCCCCATTGGACTCCAGGCTGTGATGGCTCAACCCATGTTGGAGTCTCACAACAACCCACCAAGGTGGTTCTCTGTGCAAACAGGTGAGAGAGGCAGAGATAACAGGGCAACAGAGTTGGAAGGGACCCCTTGAGGTCTTCTAGTCGGATCCCCTGCTCACGCAGGAAACCCTACACCATTTCAGACAAAGGGTTGTCCAAACTCTTCTTAAAAATTTCCAGTGTTGGAGCACTCTCAACTTCTGGTGGCAGGCTGTTCCACTGGTTAATTGTTCTCCCCGTCAGGAAGTTTCTCCTTAGTTCTAAGTTGCTTCTCTCCTTGGTTAGTTTCCACCCGTTGCTTCTTGTCCTGCCCTCAGGGGCTTTGGAGAATAGCTTGACTCCCTCTTCTTTGGGGCAGCCCCTGAGATATTGGAAGATTGCGATCATGTCTCCCCTTGTCCTTCTTTTCATTAATATAGACACACCCAATTCCTGCAGCTGTTTTCATATTTGTCATTTGATGATCAACTTGGCTTACTTTGTAGGCCGAAGGCTCGATTTTGTGCAGTAGGAAACTCAAGTTTGGTTAGTGAATTATAGCTGCCTGGATATTAAAAGTTTCAAGGCAGTTATTTGGGAATTAGGGAAAATTCCGAAATAATAAAGAGTAATAAAACTTTTTAAAAAGTCTTTCTCATCTGCCTCTTTTGTTGAAGCAACCTCGGTTTCTTTTCCAGGTGGATTATCATCAAGCAGGCTTTACCCCTACGTGGAGAAAGACCAGCGCTGCCAGAAACACAAGGGGCGAAAACTAACCAAGATTGATGGTTACAGCGTACTTCCAAGAGACGAGAGGTGTAAGTCGGTGGTGAAAATCCAAATGTTTTTACTACCGGTTCTGTGGGCGTGGCTTGGTGGGCGTGGTGTGGCTTGGTGGGTATGGCAGGGGAAGGACACTGCAAAATCTCCATTCCCACCCCACTCCTGGGGGAAGGATATTGCAAAATCTCCATTCCCTCTCCACTCTAGGGGAAGGACACTGCAAAATCTCCATTCCCACCCCACTCCGGGGGAAGGAGATTGCAAAATCTCCATTCCCTCTCCACTCCAGGGGAAGGACACTGCAAAATCTCCATTCCCACCCCACTCCTGGGGGAAGGATATTGCAAAATCTCCATTCCCTCTCCACTCCAGGGGAAGGACACTGTAAAATCTCCATTCCCACCCCACTTCTGGGGGAAGGATATTGCAAAATCTCCATTCCCTCTTCACTCCACGGGAAGGACACTGCAAAATCTCCATTCCTACCCCACTCTGGGGCCAGCCAGAGGTGGTATTTGCTGGTTCTCTGAACTCCTCAAAATTTCCGCTACCGGTTCTCCCGAACCTGTCAGAACCTGCTGGATTTCACCCCTGGTGTCTATGGCAAACAGCTGAATTGAGACATCTGAATTATAAGGCTCTTGAAAAATTAGCAGGTTTAGTCAAGATAAAAAACAGAAAAAGTAGGGTTGTGGGTTTTTTCGAGATGGAAAAATTGGTGCAGGAATAAAAACATTTATCTGCAAACCGATAAAGTCTCTTTTACATGTTCAACCAATTTAAACGCGAGGGGTGCATTTAAATGATGCCCCCCCAAAACCAACAAGAACATTGTGGCTTAATACAGGTAGTCATTGTCTTACAACCATTGTGGTGGGGTGGCCTAGAGGTGCAGCTCTGGCCTCCCAATCAGGAGGCTGCGAGTTCGATCCTAGGTAGCGGCAGATATTTCTCTCTCTGGGCACACTGAGAAATATATCTGCTGAACAAAACTCCTCACTGGCAACAGGAAAGGCATCCGGCCAATGCTAGCTCCATTCAGTTGCCCAGACTCCACCCCGCAAGGGATATGGGGGTCGTTAAAAGAAGATAAGTGCCTTCATTTAGTGACCGTTGAAAGTTACAATGACACTGAAAACAGTGACTTGCAATCGATCCTCACATTGACAACGGTTGTAGGATTCCCACCGTCACGTGATCAAAATTTCGGGCGCTTGGAAACCAGCATTTATTTACAACTTTGGCAGGATCATTTGGGATCTTCCCAGCAGGCTTCTGACATGCAAAGGTAATGATGGGGGAAGCCCGATTCGCTTAACAGCTGTCCGTTTCACTTAACAACCCTGTTTGATTTGCTTCACCATTTCGGCAGAGGGGTAAAAACGTGGCGTGACTCACTTCACAGCCGCCTTGCTTGCTTGGCAATGACAATGGCGGTGGTTGTTAAGTCGAGGAACAACCTGGACGTACGACCGCAAGTGAGCCCAACATTTACGTTGCCAACTTGAGACCTTTGTTAAGTGAGTTTTGCTCCATTTTACGACCTTTTTTATCCGCTGCTGTTAGGCGAATCATTGCTGTTGTTAAGTTGTTAAAGTGAATCACAAGGTCGCAAAAGTTGATCCCATGTTCCCTCCGGGACGCTGCAACCGTCACAAATAGGAGCCAGTTGCCAAGCGAATTTTGACCGCGTGACGGTGGGGAGGCCACCGCAGTCGTTAAGTGTGAAAAACGGTCACGAGCCCACTTTTTTCAGAGCCGTCGTAACTTTTGAACGGTCACTGAACGAGCTGTCGTATGGCCAGGATGACCTGTTATTTAGGAGGGAAAATAAACTTAGCTCCAAAATCCTGATTTTGCTCTTCTAAATATTGGCTTGTCCAAGCCTTCCACGTTGATTTGTGATGTTTTTCTCCCAGATATTGCTAATTTTGTGGCCACCCAAGGTCCTGTGACAGCTTTGATGAACATAAAAATCCTTAAGGTGAGAACGGGGTGGGGGGGGTGTTAAAATTCTGGAGAAAGGAACGTTTTCGTTCGCTGAAACCAGTGGTGAAATGTAAAATTTGTTGCTACCAGTTCTGTTGGCGTGGCTTGGTGGGAGTGTGTGTGTAATATGACTGAGTGGGCATGGCCAACTTTTTTTTTTAAAACAATTTTTTCAAAAAAAAAAAATGCTTTTAAAAGCCTCTGACAATCCCAGCTGATTTGCCTGATCGGCAGAGGCTTTTTTTCCCTTTTAAAAACATTTTTTCTGCAACCTCTTCGGCCAAAGAGGTTGTAGAAAAAATGCTTTTAAAAGCCTCTGACGATCCCAGCTGAGTTATCTGATCGGCAGAGGCTTTTTTTCCTTTTAAAAACATTTTTTCTATAACCTCTTCGGCCAAAGAGGTTGTAGAAAAAATGCTTTTAAAAGCCTCTGATGATCCCAGCTGAGTTATCTGATCGGCAGAGGCTTTTTTTTCCTTTTAAAAACATTTTTTCTATAACCTCTTCGGCCAAAGAGGTTGTAGAAAAAAATGCTTTTAAAAGCCTCTGATGATCCCAGCTGAGTTATCTGATCGGCAGAGGCTTTTTTTCCTTTTAAAAACATTTTTTCTATAACCTCTTCGGCCAAAGAGGTTGTAGAAAAAATGCTTTTAAAAGCCTCTGATGATCCCAGCTGAGTCGCGCGATCATCAGAGGCTTTTTTTTTTACTTTTAAAAGCATTTTTTTTGGCCAAAGAGGTTGTAGAAAAAATGCTTTTAAAAATAATAATAAAAAAAGCCTCTGATGATTGCGCATGATTGGAGGGAGGGGAGGGGCAGGGATTTTTGCTACCGGTTCTCCGAAACACCCACCTTCATCACTACCGGATCGGGTGATCCGGTCCGAACCGGAGCATTTCACCCTTGGCTGACACCCTTCCCAATTCGCTGCCTAGGTTCATTTGAGGCTGCATTTTTCCCAGATCAGATTAACTCGAGTTAATTTGAACTCGGCTCAGCTCCTGTACAGCTAGTCCTCGACTTACAACGGTTCGTTTCGTGGCCGAAGTAATGACGGCACTGAAAAAAAAAGTGACCGTTTCTCACACTTACGACCGTCGCAGCATCCCCGTGGTTACGCGATCGGGATTCAGACGCTTGGCCGCTGACTCGCATTTACGACGGTTGATCCCTTTTTGCGACCTTCCGACGAACAAAGTCAAGAGGGAAGCCAGATTCGCTTAACAACCGTGTTAATAAGTTAATCACTCCAGGGATTCCCTTAACATCCATGGGGAGAAAGGGCGTAAAACAGGGCAAAGTTCACTTAACTGGTTTCACTTAGCGACAGAAATTTGGGGCTCAATTATGGTCGTAAGTCGAGGACTATCTGTACTGCAGAAACCTAGGCCACAGGGTTAGTTTGTGGCCGTTATGAAAATCCAGGAAAAAAACCAGGTCAAAATACAGAGGAAACGTGTGAATTTGGCCACTGGAGGCGATTCCAGAAAGGAGTCAGAGAAAAAGAGAGCTAGAGAGGTAACTAAGATTGAAACATCATCCATCTATGGCTAATCATGGTCTGTTTGGATTCTCTCTGTGGGGCAGCATTACAAAACAGGCATCATCCAGAGGTCTGAGGGGAGCTGTGACCCCAACTGGCTTGACCACGTAGTCCTGATAGTTGGCTTCGGTGAAGGTAAGCCGTGTTTCCTTGGTTGTTGGGGTCCACTGGATCCTGGCTTGATTCTCCATTCAGCGTCCCGCCAATTTTGAGGTGGGACATCCCAACACCAGTTTGAAGGAACCCAAAAACCATTCAGGTGAGAAAATTCTGGTGGAGACGTTGCAATCGCCCAAAGTCCGAACTTTAGAATTTTAAACCGATTTAGTCCGTACAAGAAGTCCTCGTTTAATGACCGGTCGCTTAGTGACCGTCTGAAGTTACAACAGCCCCCACCCCCTGAAGGTACTCCTGATGCCCCCCCCCAAAAAAGTCACAAGATCTCATTGTGGGCGCTTGGCAATTAGATCGCATTTATGGCGATTTGCAGAATCCCATGTTCATATTGCCACAATTTTCAATGGGTTTTGCACTTTTAGGCAAGAATTATTATTTTTTTATCCATCGGATAAAATGGATTTGTTTAATGACTGCCGTGTTTGCTTAACCATCATGGTTTGTCTGTTTAATGACTTCCACAAAAACCGGTCCTAAAATCAGCATGCGGTCATGTAGTGGACCTGCTTAACGGCTGCATCAACTTAACAATAGACATTTTGGGCTCCATTACGGTTGTACGTTGAGGAATACCAGTTTGTACAAGAGAGAGACAGAGAGACAGAGAGAAAGAGACAGAGAAAGAGAGAAAAAAGAGAGAGAAAAAAAGAGACAGAGACAGAGAGACAGAGAGACAGAGACAGACAGACAGAGAAAGAGAAAGAGAGAGAGAGAGAGAGAGGAAGGAAGGAAGGAAGGAAGGAAGAAAGAAAGAAAAAGAAAAAAAGAAAAAAAGAAAAGAAAGAAAGAAAGAAAGAAAGAAAGAAAGAAAGAAAGAAAGAAAGAAAGAAAAAAGGGAGAGGTTTAGCTTACTGTGTGAATTTCACAGGTAGTCCTGGGTTTACAACCATTTATTTAAGTTCGAAGTCAGAATGGCACAGAAAAAAGTGACAAAGCTGGTCCTCACACTTATGACCATTGCAGCATCCCCAGTCATGTAATCAAAATTCAACTGGCATGGACTTAACAACGGTCAGAGCTGAAGAAGCTTCTTGGATGAGAAGCGAAACGTCTTCAAAGAAAAAAAACCCAGAAAGTCCATTTGCCTCTTGGGACAACCACGATCTGGAGGATGACCGAGAATCTCCATGGACATTTGCTTAACAAGAGATATTCTGGTTCCAAGAATGGTCGTAAATTGAGGACTACTGCAGATTGTTGAGGATGCCATGCAATAAAACACAAGATACTCGAACTCATCCATTCGAAACGGAATTCTGTGGCCTGAAAACTTCCACCAAAGTTTTATTAACGAGAATTAACCAGGATCCCAAAGTCCTGGGAGCAAACCTAGAAGGAGGTGGAAGTTTTAAACTTTGCAAAATTAAGCCAAAGTTCTGTGGCTACCCAAATTCAGGATGTTAGCTAACAAGTCACTGAGGGCAAAATTGGGACGCTCAAAGGTTTAGTCCAATTTAACAAGAATTATATAGACCTTCAAAAACCTGATAACTTTCTTGATAGGTGTTCGAAGGAAATGAGCATCCATGACCAAAATATATATATATTTTGGGTTGCAGGCAAAATCCGACGTGGTACCTGGAGTGGATCATACTGGATTATCCAGAACTCGTGGGGGAAAAAGTGGGGAGAACAGGTGGGTTGAGTTCCACTGATTTGTGGGAGGGACCTTGTAGGTCATCTAGTCCAACCCCCAACCCACCCAAGTAGGAGACCCTACACCATTTCTGACAAATGGCAGCTCAATCTCTTCTTAAGGTATGGTATACCAGGCTAAAAATCAAGGAGACGGCGAGTTCTGGTATTGCCTTGGGCATGAAAGGTGGCTGGGTGACTTTGGGCCAATCACTAGGAGACGGTGAATTCTAGTCCCGCCTTAGCAATGAAAGGCAGCTGGGTGACTTTGGCCCAATCACCAGGAGACGGTGAGTTCTAGTCCCGCCTTAGCAATGAAAGGCAGCTGGGTGACTTTGGCCCAATCACTAGGAGACGGTGAATTCTAGTCCCGCCTTAGCAATGAAAGGCAGCTGGGTGACTTTGGCCCAATCACCAGGAGACGGTGAGTTCTAGTCCCGCCTTAGCAATGAAAGGCAGCTGGGTGACTTTGGCCCAATCACCAGGAGACGGTGAGTTCTAGTCCCGCATTAGCAATGAAAGGCAGCTGGGTGACTTTGGCCCAATCACCAGGAGACGGTGAGTTCTAGTCCCGCCTTAGCAATGAAAGGCAGCTGGGTGACTTTGGCCCAATCACCAGGAGACGGTGAGTTCTAGTCCCGCCTTAGCAATGAAAGGCGGCTGGTTGACTTTGGCCCAATCACCAGGAGTTTGGTGAGTTCTAGTCCCGCCTTAGCAATGAAAGGCGGCTGGTTGACTTTGGCCCAATCACCAGGAGTTTGGTGAGTTCTAGTCCCGCCTTAGCAATGAAAGGCAGCTGGGTGACTTTGGCCCAATCACCAGGAGTTTGGTGAGTTCTAGTCCCGCCTTAGCAATGAAAGGCGGCTGGTTGACTTTGGCCCAATCACCAGGAGTTTGGTGAGTTCTAGTCCTGCCTTAGCAATGAAAGGCGGCTGGTTGACTTTGGCCCAATCACCAGGAGTTTGGTGAGTTCTAGTCCCGCCTTAGCAATGAAAGTTGCCTGGGGAATTCTGGGAGCCGAAGTCCACCCATCTGAAAGTTGCTTAACTTGAGAAACGCTAGCCTAGACGATCTTGTGGATATTCTCCACTCGGATAACTTGGGGAAGTGAGTTGGGTAAACCAAAACCCAGTTTAGGGGGCAGGGAAAGCGTCAGTCCCCATCACTGACGTAAATCGACATAAAACGCAGTAGAAACCAAACAGCGGGGACAATTAACCAGTGGAACGACTTGCCACCAGAAGCTGTGAGTGCTCCATCACTGGAAGCTGTTAAGAAGAGACCAGAGTCTGAAATGGTATACCGTCTCCTGCCTGAGTAGGGGGTTGGACTAGAAGACCTCCAAGGTCCCTTCCAGCTCTATTCTGATTGATAATTGATTGATTAGCTGTATTGCTTAGGGAAAGCTTGACAGTTGAGTTGAACTCTTCGTATATTTTCTGTTAGGGCTATTTCCGGATGGAGAGGGATTCAAACACCTGTGGGATTGCCCAGTATGTCACAACAGCTATCCTCAAAGACTTGGGAGGAAAGAAACCGGCTGTCTGTCCTAGATGATGGTATGCGTGCATCTGTCTGTCTTCAAGACAACCGCTTTGGAGCACTCAGTGCCATTAATTTTCAAGCTTTTGCAACCTGGCGCCCTCCAGGGCCTGCCTGCAGCTTTTGATTTTTTTCCTCCCGAGTTATTCTTGGGTTTCTTTAAAACGCAGGGTTTCCTCGATTTTTTTTTCTTCTTCTTAATTTTAAGAGCAACCGATGAGGTCTGTGACTTTTTTTTTTTTTTGTAAGAATTGCCAAGTGCAACTGTAGGATGTTGATGGACCGAATCGCCCAATTTTGGTGCAAAATCTTTCCGTAGAAAAACCCAGCTGTTTTCTCTCTCTGTGTATATGCGGGCATGCAGGCGTGCGGATATGGGGGGGGAAAAGGAATATCTGAATGGAAACGGAATCAAACGCATGGACAGAATGTCTAATATCAAAAGAACGAACGCAGGTTGTGAAAATACAGTGAGCGCCGCTGGTAATCTTCGTACGGAACGAATAAAAAAAGGGATTCTCATCAAAACAGACTTTGTTTTTTTCCTCCCCGCACCCAATTCTGGAATCAAAACCGTCTTTCGTTATGTATTAGCTATATATTAAAAAAAAAAAAAAATCCTCCTCTTCACATTTGTTCCTCTCTTCTTCTTCTTCCCACCCCTTTTGGCTAAGAAATGAAGACATTTGGCTTTTCTGCCCCTACATTTTCTATTTCGATTAGACGTGCCGGGGTTGTTTTTTTTCACACCTCCAAAGTCACAAGGTCTTTATTTCTTTGGGTTTGTTTGTTTCTTTTTCTCATAGTTTTATTTCGTTTCCACTGCGCGTCCCGACTCAGCGTGTGGTTGGTTAATTTGATGTGGCAACCCCGTGTTTCTTTAACTCATACATATTCAAACCTGAACACAGTTGAGGGGGGAGGAAAAAAAAAGCAAGAATATATATGGTATAGACCAGAGGTGGGTTCCAGCAGGTTCTGACCAGTTCTGGAGAACCGGTAGCGGAAATTTTGAGTAGTTCGGAGAACCGGTAGTAAAAATTCTGACTGGCCCCATCGTCATCTATTCTCTGCCTCCCAAATCCCAGATGATCAGGAGGAAATGGAGATTTTGCAGTAACTTTCCCCTGGAGTGGGGTGGGAATGGAGATTTTATAGAATCCTTCCCTTGGAGTGGGGTGGGAATGGGGATTTTACAGTATCTTTCACCTGGAGTGGGGTGGGAATGGGGATTTTGCAGTATCCTTCCCCCAGGAACAGGGAGGGAATGGAGATTTTACAGTATCCTTCCCCTGGAGTGGGGAGGGAATGGAGATTTTACAGTATCCTTCCCCCAGGAATGGGGAGGGAATGGAGATTTTGCAGTATCCTTCCCCTGGAGTGGGGAGGGAATGGAGATTTTACAGTATCCTTCCCCTGGAGTGGGGTGGGAATGGAGATTTTGCAGTATCCTTCCCCCAGGAATGGGGAGGGAATGGGGATTTTGCAGTATCCTTCCCCAGGAATGGGGAGGGAATGGAGATTTTGCAGTATCCTTTCCCCAGGAGTGGGGAAGGAATGGGGATTTTGCAGTATCCTTCCCCTGCCACGCCCACCAAGCCACGGGGGAATTCTGGGAGTTGAAGTCCACCCATCTTAAAGCCTGCTGGTTGGGGGATTTTGGGAGTTGAAGCCAACATCCTCTTAATGTCGCCCTATTGAAGAAACACTGCCTTAAATCTTCTCCAAGCATCTCCAAGGAAAAATAAGTCTTAAAATCCAACTCTATTGAATGGGGAAAGGGCACAGACGGGTCGCCCATTCTACCTAGAGCATCTGATCTTCTTGAATTATCTTTGCAAGTTGACTGTCAGAACTGCCAGCCATTTTTAAAGCAGCAGCTGTTCTTGGGGGCCAGGTCCCCAACTTGGATCAATTTTAAAAGGGTTGAAATGGGGGAAGGGACAGGAGGGGAAGGGAGGCTGAATAAATACCCAGATTACAAGAAAAACAGAGGCTTTTGGAGAAGGGAAATGAGCTCTCTTCTCATAAACCAAGCTGTTACTGCTAGGAAAACTATGACTGTCAGCTTCGAATTCACACCCTGGTGTGAAAAAGGGTGTGAATTATTTTTTTTTAAAAAAAAAAGCCCACACAGAGGGAGAAAAGCTGCCAGGCTTTTGATGCAGGTGGCTGTTCCCGTCGTTGCAAAAAAGAAGATGAAGAAGAGGAGGAGGAGGAGGAGGAGGAGGAAGGAGGAGGAGGAGGAGGGGGAGGAGGAGGAGAAAGGAGAAGAGGAGGAGGAGGAGGAGGAGGAGGAGGAGGAGGAGAAGAAGAAGAAGAAGAAGAAGAAGAAGAAGAAGAAGAAGAAGAAGAAGAAGAAGAAGAAGAAGAAGAAGAAGAAGAAGAAGAAGAAAATAGGAAGGAAAAAAAGAAAGCTTTAAGTGACAGATGGGAGAAAGAGCCAGCGAGACAGAGAGAGACACAGAGAGAGAGAGTGACAGAGAGAGACAGAGAGAGAGACAGAAAGAGAGAGTCACAGAATGAGAATGAGAGAGAGTAACAGAGTGATAGAGAGACTGACAGACAGAGACAGAGTGAGAGAGACAGAGAGAGAGAGAGACAGTGTGTGTGAGAGAGAGAGAGATTATGTATGTGTGTGTGTGTGTGTGTGAGAGAGAGAGTGAGATAGACAGAGAGAGATAGTGTGTGTGTGTGAGAGAGAGAGACAGAGAGAGACAGATTATGTGTGTGAGAGAGAGAGGGACAGAGAGAGAGAGGGACAGATTATGTGTGTGTGTGTGTGAGAGAGAGAGAGTGAGAGTGAGAGAGACAGAGAGAGATAGTGTGTGTGTGTGAGAGAGAGAGACAGAGAGAGACAGATTATGTGTGTGAGAGAGAGAGGGACAGAGAGAGAGAGGGACAGATTATGTGTGTGTGTGTGTGTGAGAGAGAGAGAGAGTGAGAGAGACAGAGAGATAGTGTGTGTGTGAGAGAGAGAGAGACAGAGAGAGACAGATTATGTGTGTGAGAGAGAGAGGGACAGAGAGAGAGAGAGGGACAGATTATGTGTGTGTGTGAGAGAGAGACAGAGAGACAAAGAGAGAGTCAGAGTGACAGAGAGACAGAGAGAGAGGAGAAATAGAGAACCTGGCTTTCAGGAAATCAGAGGGAAGAAGGGAACATCCCATAGACAGATCATCCTCGACTTACATCCATTCGTTTAGCGATGGTTTAAAAGTTTCAAGAGCACTGAAAAAAAGTGACTCATGAGTCACGACCGGTCCTCGCGCATACCACCACTGCAGCATCCCCAAGGTCGTCGGGTCAAAATTCAGGCCGCTTGCCAACTGGCATGGATGGATGACCATCCTGGGGTCACGTGAATGGCCGTTTGTGACCTTCCCAGCCGCCTTCCGACACGCAAAGTCGAAGAGGGAAGCCTGAAAAGCGCAAACTCCACTTTGACCGTTGGGGCAAAAAAAAAAAATCTCTTCCCACTTATGGCTATTTAACCATGTTGCTTGTATCTTTACAATTTATATTGTTTTTATTGTTTCCTAGTATGATTTGATTGCTTATTAGTATCCTGTGACTATCACTAAGTGTTGTATCTAATGATTCTTGACGAATATATTTTATTTTTTCTTTTTATGTACACTGAGAGCATGTGCACCAAAGACAAATTCCTCATGCGTCCAATCACACTTGGCCAGTAAAGAATTCTATTCGGGGGTGGGCTGCTGGGGGTTCGCAGGGGTTCGAGAGAATCTCTAGCTACAATTCTGTGCAGTTTGGAGAACCCCCAAATCCCACTCCTGGCTGGCCCCGCCCATTCCACCCCTCCCCTCCCCTCCCCTCCCCTCCCAAGAGTCCCCACATGGCCAGTTTGGATGCAAGGTAAGTGCAGAGTGCACACGGAGGCTCGGGGAAGGCAAACAACAGGCCTACTGGAAGTTCGTTTCTGGCCTCCAGAGGGCCTCTGGAGCCTGGGGAGGCCATTTTCACCCACCCGGAGGCTCAAGGAAAGCCTCCGGAGCCCGGGAGGGCAAAAACGCCCCTCCCCTCGGTGGTGCAGGAGGCCAACTAGGCCACGCCCACCCAGCAACAGGGCAGAGAACTCCTTGCTAAAATTTTTGAAGCCCACTCGATTCTATTCCATTCCATTCCATTTTATTTTCTATTTTATTCTATTCCATTCCGCATTCTATTCCCTATTCTATCCCATTCCATTCCATATTTTCCATTCCATTCCATTCCATTCCACTGTCTCTACTTTCTATTTTCTGTTCTGTTCCTGTTAAACAGGGAATGCTCCTTTTCTTTAGTCGGCAGGATAAATATAATTTATTGAGCTGTTCTGGCCTCCTAACCTCTGACTGCTGTTCGGTAGCTAATTCTAACCTGGTCTCTCTGCGTGTGGGTTGTTGCTCCTTAACAGCCAACGGGAATCTTCTTTCTACATTTGAGCAGAGGTTACTTGTTCCGGCATTGGGACTCCTCTCCCACAGTTCCCAGTCGCTGTGCTGAGACGGTCAAGAAAGACTGTGCTGAGATGGACGAGAGCTCGGGAGAGCTCCCCTCGGAGGCGGTTCATGTAGCTGCCAAGCCTTCGCTCACGGGCATGCTAATGTGGGCTGTGAGCAGCGGCTGGCTGATGCCTTCCTTGAGCACAAACACCTGCAGGGGAAAGAGAAGGTCAAGGGGAGTCAAATGAGCCTTGGTGGCGCAGCAGACTAAAGCGCTGTTAAGTAGCACCAGCTGCCTGCAATGACTGCAAGGTCAAATCTCACCAGGCTCAAGGTTGACTCAGCCTTCCATCCTTCCGAGGTAGGTAAAATGAGGACCCGGTTTGTGGGGGCAATAAGGTGACTTTGTATAAAAAAAAGAACACCGCTTGGGGGGGTGGGCCGAAAGCCCTACTAAGCAGGTATATACAAAAGTATGAAGGCTATTGCTTAACGCATTGTAAGCCGCCCCGAGTCTCCGGAGAAAGGGCGGCGTATAAATCGAACTAATAAATAAACAATAAATAAAGAAGAGGAGGGCGAATGGAATTGCTCCCTTTTGGAGCACAGAAAGCCAGGTGGGGTTCCCTGCAGAAGGAATTGGGGTACCGAGATAAACAACCCCCCCCCCCAAAAAAAGATGCGGAGACTCTGGAAAGAGTGCAGAGAAGAGCCAACTAAGAGGATTAGGGGACTGGAGGCTAAAACATTTATTTATTTATTTATTTATTTATTTTTTAAATTTATATACCGCCCTTCTCCTGAGGACTCAGGGCGGTGTACAGCCAGAATTAAAAACATAAAATACAAATATTAAAAAACAATTAATATATATATAAATTTGGCCCAAAATTAAAAATACAAACCAATTAAAACATTTAAAATTTCTTCTTAAGCCAGCCCGGTTTGCTGGAAGAAGTGGGTTTTAAGGGCACGGCGGAAGGCACTAAGGTCATAGGAAGAACGGTTGCAGGAACTGGGTATGTCTACTTTAATGAAGAAAAGGACTATGGGAGACATGACAGCAGTCTTCCAATATCTCAGGGGCTGCCCCAAAGAAGAGGGAGTCAAGCTATTCTCCAAAGCACCTGAAGGCAGGACAAGAAGCAACGGGTGGAAACTAATCGGTTTAATTAATCGGTGCCTTCCGCCGTGCCC